TGGAAAAGTGACCGAGTCAACCGGGCATTTCCCACTATTTCCTCCAAATTCAAACACCATTTCACGTCACTCCTCCAAATTCGTGCGAACCGACGGCGAAGGAACCCCAAATCACTCCCCCAATCTCGAAAACCGTCGACGGCGAAGGAACCTTAACCCCCGAAATCTGTTATCCTATAAACTGAACGAAAGGAAAATCCCCCAAATCTGCCTGAAACTCCGTTGGAAACCCTCCCTGAGTGCGAAGAAAGCTCCCAAAAATCTCCCAAAACCCGTCTCTGAGTGCGAAGAACTCTCAAAAAAATCTCCCAATAATGATTTGAATTTTTAGGGGAGTAAATTTTTATTATCATTTCTGTTTTTGTTCTTTGTCTTGGATCTTTTGAAAATAATTGGAGTTATAACCACTTTCTGGCTTCTATTTGTTCCTTTGTGACTGGTTAAAATGAGTAAAGAAGAGTTCTGGAAAATCCACGTACTTAACCTTTTGTTCATTTGTATATCAATGTGTGAAAATTATGTTTCTGAAAAAGTGGGGTGGGGTTGGGTGTTCTATTCATTTTTTCTTTATAGGGCTTTGCTTGTTTGAAACTCAAGATCTTTGAATGCCGTTGCCCTTTGCTGTTTGTCTCTTTCTTTAACCTTTTCTTTTCTTCCTCTAAAACATCCATTTTACTGTCAAAATCCAATTGGTTAGATTTATTCTTAGGAATCCTTGTATTTTCTGTTTGTATTCTTGTATTTTTGGCTTTGTTTTTTAATTTCTGATTTTGTTTAATAAAGTTGTAAGCTTTAACTAACGTGTTATTCTCTNNNAGCTTTAACTAACGTGTTATTCTCTGGCTTTGCATGTTTATGCAGACTTGTGTTCTTAAAGTCAATATACACTGTGAAGGGTGCAAGCACGAATTTCAGGTTTAGATTTTTAGATTTACAACTTGTGTTCTTAAAGTCAAAATCAACATTTCAGATTTACAATTTGAGTTTTTTATGGCTAATGTGAGTTCAAATGGTCATTTATAATCTTGCTAGATGCAGAATTTCGAATATGGTTGCAAGAGGTCGCCCACAGGGATATTAGAATCTGGACCAGCAGCTACTTTGGTCGATGAGTTGCAACACATTGATGAGGTTGAATTTGCAAGGATGAGAAAGGAAAGGGAACGGAATAGACAACATTCAAACACAGCCACTTCCCTGCGGTCTTCATGCAGTGGGAATAGAATAGATGATCTTTTGTCAATGCAGTCTATTTTTTGTCAATGTATTTTAGATGTCTCTAATGGATTTTATTAGGGGTGTCCAAAAGTCCCAGGACCGAACCGAGCAGTTCTTCATAAA